TCACTTGTTAATCAATTAACAAAGATAACAATATATCAAACATTTCATATAATAGTACAATATGCAGTTCATACATTAAATATTTCATTTTCACATAACATGAATATATCATGAAAATATCATTGATCACTTACCTTTTTGACACGTAAAGAACATGTTCATCATATGATAAATATCATAACTATCAACTCAATATAACATGGTTGGCTCATATCAATCCTTTAAAATAACATATAACATAAAATATAACATAAAGGTAACATAAAAGGCATGATTTACCACTCATTTTTCAATTTTAGCAACTTGCACTATTCTTAAAGAATTTATTTTTTGTATTAATCTACAAAATGAAATTTTATTCCGTTTATTCCACTATAAACTATATTTGAATTCAAATATAATCATATAAAGTCACTTCATGCTCTCAATTCTGTATATCTGCTTTGGAATCTCACTTGTTAACTTAATGGCTTTAATCTGCACATATAACTTATCAAGTTACATCGAGTCACTTCATGCTTTCATTTCTTCTTTCAGGTGTTTGCAGTTTAAGTTAATGAACCATAGGCTTTTCTAGATCTCAGAACCTGTTTATGTAAAAGATTGTAGAGTCAGGACGGGATCATTCTTTGATGGTAGTTACACTTACTGCTTCTGGTTAAACGATGAGGTTTCAATGTCTTAACGAATAGTCTCCTAGTAGAAAACTTTATCATGCATGAAAACCCGAAGAGTAAAAACAGCAGCTAGGAACAATTGAAAATGGAAATTCTTTACTTCATGCTGTTTGCTGTTGTTTTCATTTGATAGCTTGGTGGACAAGACTGGAATTTAATTGACATTGGCGTTGGGATTTTCACCATATATGTTGGTACAGTGTAAGGGAACTGAGCAAGGGTGTAAAACGATCACTGACAGGTGGATCCTGTGTAACTTCAAGCGGAAGTGGTCAATGATGAGAAGAAGACTGGAGTCGAGGTTTGATGAGAATCAAGGGTATACGAAGAGAATTAGGATGTAGAAAATTAAAATTACGAAGATCAGTCGTAAATGTTGAATGGCCAAGTAACGTCCCTAGTTCACACTCGGTCTGTTTTGATGGGATGGATAAAATACTATATATAATACACGACAGAAGGTACATGGCCCTTTTAAAAAATTGATCTCATGTTTTAAAAATATTTGACAATAAAATTACATGTTTAGTACTTAAATTATTAGTTTTATTTTATTTTAATACCTAAACGTTCATTTATTTCAAAATCACATATAATGTTTACTTTTTATTTCATTTTAGTACCCTCGCGTAAACTTTCATTTATTTCAAAATCACACATAATTTTTACTTTTTATTTCATTTTAGTACCTTCACCGTTAAAAACTTAATGGAAGTGTTGCACGTGAAATTTTTTTATAGGTGATGTTAGAGTTTGACTCGAATTCAAAGTGATACAAATTAATTAAATGAATTGAGAGAAACAAGAAACCTAGTTTGATTAAAAGTAGAAACTTTATTTTTCCTTGTGCGTAGAAAATCTACTTTTGATGTTGAAGAGTATTTGTACTACAATCACATTATTGGTAATCGCAGTATTGGTAATCACAATATCGGTACTCGTAGTATCGACACTCATAATATTTGTACGAACAATATTGGAACTCATAATACAGATATTGCAAGAACAATATCAATATTACAAGAATAATATCGATACTATAATCTAGAAAGCCCATAAATAAACTCGAGAATCACTTAAAAATCCTCCCGAGAGGCTTAGTTCGATCCCAAATAATGTGCTAAAGCTTAGGGAAGTTAATTAGGGTCATCTAGCACCCTAAAAACACAATCTAAGCAACAAAAATGTCATATATGGCATAATCAAGAAAAAAAAATCCTAAAATGCTTAAATACTCAAATATCAATAAATCTTCATAATTATGAAATCCTTAACACCAAAAAGGAATAGAATTACACTACCTTGATTCTAGAATCCCGAAATGAATCTCTTTAGACAACTAACACTCTCCTTTAAAACTTGGTTGCTTGTCCACCTTTTTCACTTGAGCTTGAACTAGGCACTTTCTATGGAGGAGAAACATGAAGCTAAAAAAGAAGAAATAAAGAGGAGAAGACAATGTGGGAGAACCTCACGCCCAAACCACCATTATAATTTAAGATATCATCTTCTTTTTCTTCAACGGTCTATTTGTGCATTTGGTCCCTCATACTTTAATCCTGAATAAAAAAAATATTCCTTTTAATGTCAATTTGGCTCAATTCACATCCAATCAAGCCCACACTTATCCCAACAACTTTAATTGTGAACTCCACGCGATCCACATGCCTTTTGAGTAAATCCAAAACTACTACCCTGGAACTTTAAGTAAAAAATTACTGAGTATATTTTACTTTATAAGTTTCCTTTATAATCAAGTATTTATCCATATAAATATATACTAATGATTAGGGTTAGAGATTAGGTTGTCCATGAGGACTTGTCTTGTAATCTTTTTATCTCAAAAATAGTAAATTTTCTCATCTTCTGCCCGTAGTTTTTCCTAAAGAGTTTTTCACGTAAAATTTTAGTGTCTATTTTATTGGGCGATCATTATGCATGGCGTTGTCTTCTAACAATTTGTTATCAAAGCGTTTGAGTTGTTTGACTCGATCACGATAATGATTTTTTAAAGTATAAGAAGTCGTTATTAGATCACAACACCAAATTCATGTTGTGAAAGGTAGAGGTACGTAAATTTGCAAGAGCTCTTTTTAATATGATGAAAGTGTAGAGAAAGACTGCTAAGTTTTATACTCTATAGGGTTCAACAATTATAGAAGATGAACTGTTATTTTTTCTTTGTGGCAAAGAAGGATTTTGGGTTGAACAAAACAATTGTGGGCATAACAATTTCGGGAGCAGAAAAGTGTTCCATTTCATGGGCATAACGGATTTGAGAAGAAAATGAGAGTTCAATTCTTTGGGCTTAACAAATTTTAGAAGAAGAAAATTTAGTTTCGTAAGTATAACGGAAAGATATAATTGCCACTGATGATCAGGATGGTGTTGTGCATGATGTTGCTTGTAGTGAATAAGTTGTGAGCAAAGTTAGCACTTATTATTTTCTTAACTGTTGTGAAGATTAAATCCAAGCTTCGACAAACTTTGAATTTAGTTGACAATCATTGATAGAGAATAGCCCTCTAAGGGGTTTCGTGGATGAAGTGAAGAATTTGTTCTCATGGTGGAGAACTTATTCGTTGATGTGAGAATTATTTTTTGTTGAGTTTGAGTGTCTTATCGAATTTAAGTGTTATATCTTGAAACTTTTGCACTTTCAGAATTCACGTCAGATTTGTTAGAGTTTGACTCTAGTTCAAAGTGATACAAATTAATTAAATTAATTGGGAAAAGTAAGAAACTTAGTTTGATTAAAAGTGAAAACTTTGTTTTTCCTTTTATGTCGAAATGTTACTTTGAGTATAATTCTACTTTATAAGTTTCTTTTGTAATCAAGTATTTATCCCTATAAATAGATACTAAGGGTTTGAGTTTGAGATTAGGTTGTCCATACTCCTATTGTATTCTTCTTCTCTAGACAATAGTGAATTTTCTTCTATTCTACCTATGATCTTTCATGAAAGGGTTTTTCACGTAAAATTTTGGTATCTATTTTAATGGGTGATCATTATGTACGTCGTTATCTTCTAACAAGTAAATTACATTATTCATCACTTGATTATCTTCTCACTTGTATTTTGGTCACTAAAGTTTAAAAAATTTCAATTTAACTACTCAACTTTTAAATAGTCTGTGTTTTAATCGCTCTAATTTTCAAAACAATAGAGAAAAGGAGAGAAAGTAGAAGAAAAGAGAATTTTTTTTTACGTTTTTTATATGTATCTAAAACGATATTCTTTTAATGGTTTTTGTAGAGATTCAAAATAACATCATTTTGGTGTATCATTATATCATATGTCACGTCATTACGTTGTTTTTTATTTAACATATAAATGATTAAAACACAAGCAATGTTAGAGTTGAACAACAAAACTAAAATTTTTAAAATTTTAAAGACTAAAACAAGAGTGAAAATAAAGTTGAATGATAAAATTGACGATATACCTTCATTCAATAATGAATTTTTTTTCTATTTAAGGATTGCTCATTATGGTATCTGCAACTCGATCTGATAAATATCATATTATTTTGCCAAAGATGGTAATATTTATTGATTCCTAGGATTTATTGCATTTAACTTCTAATCCAGAGTGATCTTTTCTGCACCCGATGGCCTATGGTATGGTGAAATGGAAAGATAATTTATACAGAAAATATTCAAATTAAACAATCATTTTTTAAATACATTATAAATAGGCAATCTATTTTATGTGCTCCCTAAATTTTGACTAGGCCAAACATGCTGGATTTAAGGAAGAATCATTGAAATGAATAAATTTTTGAGGTTTCATATTGTCTAGGTTATACTTACAAAGTTGGTCCAAACTTTTGAGGTTTCATCTTCCAATTGATTATCCAAGAGCTTTCTGTTGTTTGCATGAAGGAAATCTTTTTTTTTTTTTTTTGCTTCGTCGGAATCCACCGGAGAACGTCAGAGAGTCCCCTTTTTCCGATGACAATTTCAACATACACAATTTTCTCACGTTCCCTTGAGAACCCTTTCGTCTTCTTCCATCAGGTACCTTCTTCTACTGGTTAACATAAAGTTCATTGCATGAATTTTACCATCCAAGATCAATGCATAACACATATTATTTATATTACAAATTGTTGAAGGTTCTTCCTTTTTTCTCTCCTTGCATTTGCATATGTAAAATATATGGTCTTAAGTCAGTTTTTTTCTCCCTTTCAATCTTCTTCAGGGTTCTTCAATTGTTTTCCCCTGAGCCAATGAGATGAGAATAGGGTTCCTCGTGCCCTTCAGGGTTCATGTGGTGACCTTGCTTTTCTGGGATCGGACTTTGGCAAAGCCAACGAAACATGGTACCAACAGCTTCACCTCAAAATTCCCCATCAAGTAAAAATAGCTCCCGACCACCTTCGAATTCATACCGAGATAACCCCAAATCAACACAACGAAGCTCACCACGGCAACCAACACATGAATATAAAAATCAATACCACCCTCCACCTTCACATGGTCATAGACGCAGCGAAAAAGACTCTCCCTCGCCTCCTCGAAAAAATGGCGGTAATGCGTCACCATCGAAAACTCCATCCAGTAAGATCGAGTCAACTGATGGGAGAATGATTATAGGAGTAGCCGCGGGTGCTGGATTATTGGTCGTTGTTGCTATCTTTTTTGTAGCCAAATGCGTTATTCCACAGAAGAAGAAACGCCAGCATAATCCACATTTTGAACCTCAAGGTGACGAACCTGCAATACCTTCCTTCCCAAGCAAAGAAATACCTTTGTTTCCCGGGAATCCTCTGTTTCTTCATTGATAATACTTTGGAGAGGAAAAATCTTGAAATTTTACAAATACTTGCAATAAAGTTCTCACTGTCATGAAGAAGGGCAGATTCCTCTATAAATTTTCCTTATAAATTCAATGAATCTAGGTCAACTTTAAGAGTTGAGAACTGATATGAAATTTATTATGGCTTATGAATGAGGTTTTTATTCTGTGGATTTTGCAGCAAGTGGTTATCCACATTTTAATAACTCCAACAATCCTCCTCCTTTTGGCAATGGTTTTCAAGGTCCAGAGCATGCTACCGGACTACATCCGCCTACCGGTGGTAGTAGCCGTCGTAGTGGATGGGGTTCATCATCCCAACAGCCACCGACTGGTGATGGCGGTGGCTATGGATGGAATCCATCATCCCAAATGCTAGGACCAATTTATACTGGTGAAACAAGCAACAATTTCTCAGCCCCTTTCCACCGAGCTATGCCACCTCCTCCTCCCCCGGGCATTCCTCTTGGATTAAACAAGAACAGTTTCACTTATGAGGAGCTTTCGATTGCGACAAATGGATTTTCTCAGTTAAATCTGATCGGCCAAGGTGGGTTTGGATACGTTCACAAGGGTGTGCTACCGGATGGAAAAGAGGTCGCAATCAAGAGCTTAAAAACTGGTAGTGGACAGGGAGAAAGAGAATTCCAGGCTGAAGTTGAAATAATTAGCCGAGTCCACCATCGTCACCTTGTATCACTTGTGGGATATTGCGTTGCCGGTGCACAACGAATGTTGATCTACGAATTCGTTCCGAACAATACGTTGGAATATCATCTCCATGGTAAAATTTGATTCCTTGCTTCATCATTCATCCAGTTTTATGCAGTCCTGAAACCATTCCAATGGCATACTGCAGGAAAGGGTGTTCCAGTCATGGATTTTGCCTCTAGACACCGTATTGCAATAGGTTCTGCTAAAGGGCTTGCTTATCTACATGAAGATTGTAAGGATATATCACTTTTCCCCTTTCTCTGGGACTACATTTCTCTCGATGCTTCTCATTTCTCTATCGAACCATACATGCAGGTCATCCCCGCATTATTCATCGCGATATCAAAGCAGCAAACATTCTTCTTGATAACAACTTTGAAGCTATGGTATCATTTTTTAAAATTGATTTCTTTTTTTTTAATACGCCTTTGGAAGAAATGAATATCAAAACTACCAAGTTCCTATTTCTTATAGGTGGCTGATTTTGGGTTGGCTACGTTGTCCACTGACAACGACACACATGTCTCGACTAGTGTGATGGGAACATTCGGGTAAGGCACTCGGATTCCACGTACGAAAGTGAAAGATCGCTATTTCTCCTACTTAGTAAATTAAAATTCGAATTCCTCTAATGATTTTGGTTTTGTCTTAGGTACTTGGCTCCAGAGTATGCCTCAACTGGCAAGTTGACAGAGAAATCAGACGTCTACTCATTTGGGATCATGCTTTTAGAACTTATAACTGGAAAACCTCCTGTTGATAATACAATGGAAGACACTTTAGTAGATTGGGTTTGTGGACCCTTAAAACTCTCTTCAATACAATAAAATTACATAGAGAATGCAACCCTAGTTGTTCTTTCCAAGCCATCTAATGAAGCACTGTATGGAACAGGCTCGACCACTTCTGGATCGTGCAATAGAGACCGGCAACCATGTCCAGCTCGTCGATCCACTCTTGGAGGGTAACTACGATCGTATGGTGATGCAACGAATGGTGACCTGTGCTTCAGCCAGTGTTAGACACTCGGCCAAAAGGCGACCAAAAATGAGCCAGGTTTTCATAGTTTAACCTTTAATCGTATAATGTTATATTTTTTTCAGTATTTCTCATGGAATATCATCATTGAAAGCAGATAGTGAATGCCCTACAAGGAGACGCGTCCCTGGATGATCTGAAGGTGGGGATAAACAGCTAGCTCATATTACAACAACGGTTCGTAAAAGACAGACATGAACAAGTTGAAGCAATCAGCTATAATCAAGCCACGACTTTTTTAGCATTGAAGATGGCAGCGAGCACCCAAGAGCAAGAGTAATGATTTGTTTAACATATTGCACTAAAACCCACACAAAAAAAGAACCAAAACATTGGGGAACAAGACAATTGCTTATTTTTATTTTTTTTGCATTGGGGAATTGGTTTTGTACACATCATTTTTAGGACATTTTGTTAATGTCTAACATTGTTAATTAATGTTGTATTTCAATAGGATAGAGTAATTGTACATAAATTAATGGGTCTAGTCAATTACGATATTTACTCAATTCTTATGAAAAATTATTTTAAAAATCCCTAATTGCTAACTCTCTTTCCTCTCCGATATCTTACCTAAAACCATATCTTTAACTTAAGCACCGTACTGATTTAAAAGTGTCAATTCTGCAATACCTTAATATATATATACTAATTTTAATATTTATCTAAATTCATGATAATACCAAATTCGAAAGAAAAACATATAGGGGTAACCATTAACTAGGACGAAAATTTTGGGCATGATAAAAGTAAAATCGTCTCTCTAGTGTAAAATATAATTATGAAAATAATTTATTTTTCATTTTCCCCTTTTAGTGGTGTAGAGTGAAGACATGACGTGGTTAAAATAGAGTTGTTTATAGACAGTTAATCGTATTATTTAGTTTAAACAGTTAGTTAACCGTTATAACGATTATTAAATTTTATTAATTATATCTTAATCATTAAAAACGGTTAACAGTTATTAACAATTCACTTCAATGACAGAGCCACGACTTCAACTTGGGAGACAAAATATAACTTTTCTAAAATTGGGAGGATAATTTCACAATTATCCCATAAATATTTAAATTTTATATATAAATTAAAGATAAAAAAACAAATTTTTAGCTTGATAGGAGGCCGCACCCCCTCTCAAGCTCTTAGTGGCTTCGTCCCTGTTTCGCTTATAAGATATATATAAGCTATGTTTAAAATTTTTAAATTTTCATAAAATTTACGATGATGAAAATATATATATTTGTAATGATCTTATTTATTTATAGATAAATTTTAGCATTTTATTAATCTTAATCCAATAAAATTTGACTAGTCAAATCAACATGAGACATACCTTAGAGAAATATTCATATAAAATTTCAGTTTTCTTATTAAGGTTCATACAATTTCAATATTCAGAGATCATTATTAAATTTTAATTTAATTGATATATAAATGCTATAATAATTTAAAATACGTAAATTTGAATATATTTGGCATATAATTTTTTGCACTTGCCTATTATATAATACTTATCAACACATTAAGGTGGTGTTTGGTTCGCTGGAATGTTTATGAGAGAATTAGAATCTGTGGAGGAATTAGAATCTGTAGGAATTGGAATCCAATTCCATAATTTGTTTGGTTGGCAGGAAATAGAATTGGATTCCAATTCCATATCATGTTTAGTTCGCAGACATGTCAGATGAATTTGATTTTAGTAATGTAAAATGACAGAATTGTCCTTCTTGTTTTTTTGCTTTATTTTAGTTTATTTTACAACTTACATGCAGTAATATATTATAAAAAATTAAAAAATATTAAATTTTCATTTTATTGATTGATTATTCATTTCAATAAATTATAAAAATCATGCTAATAAACATTATAAGTTAAAATCATCGCAATCAAAATATGTTAATAAGTTACCAAAAGATAGAGTAATATTTCGATACATTCCAACCGGAGTATGTTAATTAGTTACCAAAAAATATACCAAAAATTATTTTTATTCAATATATGAATTAGAAACTCGACCCGACACGACTCAAAATAATAAAAAATATTTTTATTCAATAAAAACATTGACTTAATTGAAAAAAATTATATAGAGATGGGTATTATTGTAATTATTCCTAAATATATAAGGTAAAATTATATATTTTTTTCGGGTCGGGTTCGGGTTTCGGTCCGGTTTTTTTCACCCTAAACCCGAACCCGACTCGAACAAAATAAAGTTTCATCCGACCCGACCCGAATATATAAATTAGAAATCCAACCCGACCCGACCCGAAATAATAAAAAATTATTTTTATTTAATAAAAACAGTGACTTAATCCGACCCGACCTGAATTATATATTTTTTCGGGTTGGTCCAGTTTTTTCACCCTAAACCCGAACCCGATCCGACCCGAATATCACACTTAAAAAAAACCCGATCCGACCCGACCAAAATAAAGTTTCACCGGACCCAACCCGACCCGAATATATGAATTAGAAACCTGACTCGACCCGAAATAATAAAAAAATATTTTTATTTAATATATAAATAAGTTACCAAATGATTAATGAGGGTATGTTCAAATTTTAATTCCCTTCAACAAGGGAATTGAATTCCATCCATTTTTTGATGGAATTGAATTCCATCAGGGATTCTAATTCCCTTGAAAAACTTGAACCAAAATGGGAAAGTGGTGGAATTGAATTCTAATTCCCACTAATTCCAAGGGATTCTATCCAACCAAACGCCACCTAAGGGTTTTATTTTGACTAATTCAAAGAAAATGAAATCCAAAACTCATTTCATTTGCAATTATTAAATGGATTAAGTACATAAATAGTGTAACACCCCCAACCAGTATCCGACCCGGATCCGAGTCCGAGATATCACATTGACTTTTCAAAACTTTTGCTTGTACAAAATTAGTGAATAATTTAAAACTTTTATAACATATAACTTATTCAAAACTTTTACAAAACTATTCAGAGCTTATACAATACATTATTTTGAATACATGCCAACTAAAACTTTAGTTGTTAACATACATATTATTCATCTTTCTTCTAATCTGACCATCTGTAAGGAGAACTGACTTGTCTAGATCCACATTGCTCTTTACTCTTCTCACTTCTGTAACCTACGTGTGAAACAATCACACGCTAAGTCTATGACTTAGTGAGGCAATAAACATATAATATAAACATTTACTAGTAATCATTTCTTACAACTCATATACTATTATATGTAACAAATACATACATACATACATACATACATACATACATACATACATACATACATACATACATACATACATACATACATACATACATACATACATACATACATACATACATACATACATACATACATACATACATACATACATACATACATACATACATACATACATACATACATACATACATACATACATACATACATACATACATACATACATACATACATACATACATACATACATACATACATACATACATACATACATACATACATACATACATACATACATACATACATACATACATACATACATACATACATACATACATACATACATACATACATACATACATACATACATACATACATACATACATACATACATACATACATACATACATACATACATACATACATACATACATACATACATACATACATACATACATACATACATACATACATACATATATGTCATTATCATTCATATCTCTTATCTCATGTTCCTATGATCTTTTATGTCCATATTATATATCTGATAGACTTGTTATTATATCATCATATCAATCAATTATACTCATTCACATATACATTAACATGTATGACATATAACATATATATATATATATATCATGTCAGGTAAAACATATATACTATCGTAAATCAAACACACAAGCAAGTATATCATCATCTTCATTCTTATCACTATCATTGATTCATTTTATCATATAATCTTATAATTACCATTTGTACCATCATATATCACACATAACATTTCATAAGGAAACAAACATATCATCATATTCAGTTTATTAATATTATCTCTTTATTAACCCATGGTACACATGTGAGAACTGTAGATACGTGAGTCTATTGAGGTTGTGCACCACTATGCTGTCACCACAACTCGTATAAATGTCCCGAAGGACCTATCCAGAGGTCACAAAGACCCCGGTAACTATCCATAGGTCATAAAGAACCTCGGCAACTGTCCATAGATCCCGAAAAACCTAGGTAAACTGTCCATATGTCTCGAAAGACATAGGTAAACCCTCGACTCTTGGCATGCCAACTATACCCCTAGCTCTCCTATCACATAACATGGGCATTATCATTTATAACATTTCATATCACTTTTTATTTCTCTTCTGTCACATACCACATGTATGTGTAACCATATATCTCATATCATATCACATGTATCACAAGTGCATGTATTCACGTAGATCGTTTCATATGACTTATATCATTTCTCATTTGTTCATGTAACTCGTATGTCGTATCATGTAACATATAACACATATATCACATACTTATATCAATTCACACTTAGTCACATGGGTCATTTCTCATAACATATATCACATCACATATGTTCATGGGTATATCCCATATCATATAAAATAACATATAAACTTATATATGTATTCATGTGTATACTTTCATCTAGCCTATATATCAATGTCATATAACTTATCTCATAACTTATTTGATATTTATATATATTCTCATCTTATAACTTATATTACCTAATCAACCATACTTTGTTTATCTCACTTTTCATATCATTCATTTATCACATATATGTCACTTTGCTTATAACACTTCTCTGGTTTTCATATGACATGTAAATCATTGTTATCTCTTGTTCTCATATAATTCCATATAGTCACTTATTACTTATCACATAGTTTACATCCTATGATCATAGAATCATATCAATAACACATATACTCATGCACACATATAAATCATAGCAAACACATACCTCTATGAATTCATGCATTTTACTATTGGAAATAGACTTATCGTAAGTCTTATTTTCCATTTAACATCATATACTAAATAATGTGCACTCACCTTGGCCTCACTAAGTTTCAATCCACTTTATGATTTCCTCTCTTCCGATCGAATCTTAACTTGATACACAACCTGGA